TTTAAGGTAGCTGAAGCCACTAAAGTGATGCATTTCTGGGAAGCTGAGCTTTCTCAATGCCTGAACGGTAAGGAGAAAGCAAGAAAAAGGGCTCTTTGGAAAGACCAAGTGTTTGCTAACTGTGCTAGTTTCCCAGGAACACCCTGGTTTTAGGTGCAGGATACCTCCTACCCTGGGAAACCCCCTCATCTTGGGCACATGGGGACATTTGGTTATCCTAGAATAGAGGCTTGATTAAGCTGTGTCGGATAACATTAAAATTCTGTGGAAAAAGGCACTTACATGATTTTCCAAATTAAGCATTTTTTAAAGATTTTTAAAATTATTGTTAAGTAATCTTTATGCCCAAAGTGGGGCTCGAACTCATGACCCTGACATTGAGATGCGTTTGCTCCTCCAACTGGGCCAGTCAGATGTCCCCAAATTAAGCATTAAAAAATTTTTGTGATGCTTATTTTTGAGAGAGAGAGAGAGAGAGAGCGCGTGAGCACGCGCGAGCATGCGTGGGGGAGGGGTAGAGAGTGGGAGGGAGACACAGAATCTGAAGCAGCCTCCAGGCTCTGAGCTGTCAGCACAGAGCCTGACAGAGGGCTCGAATCCATGAATTGCGAGATCCTCATGACCCGAGCTGAAGTCAGACACGCAACTGACTGAGCCACCCAAGCACCCCAGTATTCTTAATATAAATAGAGTAACGTAAACAGGAAGAGCATAATGACTAAATATTTTCATAAGAAGCTATCCATATCGAGGTGAGTTCTAGCCGGTTTGTCCATGTAGTTGCAGCAGTGGTTCATTGCACAGCCTTAGCCTACTGGCAAACCTGATTCCTATAAGGAAATAATTAGCCTTTGCAAGGCTCTTTTTGAAAACCCAAAACTTAACGTGACGCCAAATATCCTACGGGCCAAGGAGGGAGAACGTTTCCAAAATGGAGTTGCTGAAACTTAGTCACAATGGGAAGCCAAGGAAGAAGGGTGAGCTCACCTTTGGGAGTGGTGCTGCTGGCCTGAGGGGGATGGAAGCCAGATGGCCAGGCCCAAGGAGGGGACCCGTGGAAAGGAGCCTGACCACTGGCCCCAGACTACTTATGTAAGATATATGACGGGGAGAAGAAGTAAAGCAATGAGATAATAGCTAGCAGTTAGCAAGGTCAAGAGGAAAATTTGGCAAGATGGAGGAAAGTTGAGTGTGTTGAAGACAGAAAGAAATCCAAGATGAAGGCTTATTTGGAGCTTGGGGCTAGTCTTAGCAAAGGGTGAGATCAGAGTAACCCTGCCACCAGGGCCACTTACCCCATTACTGACAGCCATGTCTTCCTTGCTTAAGATGCAGCTCCTCAAATGTGCGCTCCCATTCTCCGGAAACAGCGGGTGCCCCAGGAGAGGCTGTCCTCCAGGAAGAAGCCCATATGTGTAGAATGCCATTGCCATCAGATGGCAGCAGTGAAAATGAAAATAGTCTCAGAGTAAGAAAAATAGCATAAATTAAAATATTTGCAAAGTTTATAGATTAGGTCTATGACACTAAACATCCAAGGCAAGAACATTTTGAATAATCAGGATCCCTCTTCTCCAAACTGAGGTGATTGCTTTTTGCTTTCAGGAAAACCCTAATGTGCAGGGCCAGCCCTAACATTTGCAGAGCCTGGGGCAGGACAATAAACAGAGGTCTATATTCCATATGCCTAAGTATCTAAATGTGCTACATTCGGCTAACAAATGTGGCATATCCACGCCCCCTCTCATCCTAACCTGGGCTCCATCCCACACAGGGAGGGGACTGGCACACATGGACGGAGGTCAGGTATGTACACAGAAACAACTCCTGAATGACTGTAAAGGACTGCCTCCACCTTCCCCAGTGTTTGCCCCCGGAATTGAGGGGTTTTCATACCAAAAGTGTTCTGGAAGGTTGAAGGAGCATTCCATCTTCCTCACTGGCCCATCAGGAACTTTTCCACGAGCGGGGTGTGTGTGGCCAAGGAGGACCAGATGTGGCAAGGTTGGGTGCCCAGGGCAGGGTTTTTCTTGCCTGGATTTAAGAGCCATACAGGACACAATTTATCTTCCTGGAGTTTTATTTTATCATTGTATTCTTCTGATTTGACTTTTTAGTTTTTAGCATAATGACTCTCAAAGAGTCTTGAACTGGACATTACAAGGCTTCCTACATGACTGACTGCAATAACACAGAGCAGGTGGAGGGGCTCAGAAAGAATTGTTTCTGATAAGCATTCACCCCCAGGCATGAGTGTTGCAGCGAGGGCTGAGAGGTCCCAAACAGGTCATTCTCTAGTCCTATCAGCTCTCATTATCAGATAAAGAAAATCACAGATTACCTCCTGACAAAGGAGAGCACTGTTTTCAAAGACATTTAAAATGGAAGTATAATTTTCTGATGGCTTCTAAAGGGGGACAGTTTGGGGGCCCCTGGGTGGCTCAGTCAGTTAAGCGGCTGCCTTTGGCTCAGGTCATGATCTCATGGTTCATGAGTTCAAGCCCTGCAGTGGGCTCTCTGCTGACAGCTCAGAGCCTGGAGTCTGCTTTGGATTTTGTGTCTCCCTCTCTCTCTGTCCCTCCTCCGACCACACACACACACACACACACACACACACAGTCTCTCTCTCTCTCTCAAAAATAAATAAACATTAAAAAATATAAAGGGGAAACAGTTCAGCACAAGTCATTTAGATCTAATCCAAACCACTTTAGGACTTCAGGTTAGCCACTGAAAGTGAGGGAAGGAGCTGATGCCTTCTCCAATCTCCTTCCTGAGGCTGAGCTTCACATATGGGTTGGAAGGAGCTAACGGTGGAGAATTTAGGGTCTTAAGAACACCATGAAGATGATGCACCATGGGAATAACCCACATGGGGAGTTAGTAAACTGGGCTCTGCCCTTTACCTGGTTGGCTGATTGAGAAGTTGCTTATTGAGGACCTGTTTACTCTGCGGGGCAGCGGGGAGAAGGTCAGTTTAGGTAATCTAGAGTGTTTCTTGGGTTGGGAGGCTGGGGGAAGCCTTGAGCAATGTGATCTCCCGGGAAGTTTCTTCAGAACACAGCTCAGCTCTCCCTGCTGACTACCCACATTTCACCTGCGGTGTGGGAGAGGCCTGGCCCCAGGAGCCACTTACAAGACGTAGGACCCATGCTTGATAACCATCCCTGGGGCATATTTCCAGACTGAGATGTTCAGTAGCTCTCTTTGAAGAGACAAACTATTACTACTTAGATAACTGCACCAAATATGGGTCCCCAAATGATGGCAACCTCATGTGAAGGGAGAGCAATTAGTGTGCTAAGTGGTGCATTTAACCAATCACATTTAATCTTATGTCTCTGAAAACTATTTGCTTCATTATTAACCAATTCAGAGGCAGTGATGGAAGTGATATCCAGATACCTAATGGGTTTTGAGGTTTTGGTAAATTCTTTTCTTTTTAATGTTTATTTATTTTTTGAGAGACTGACAGAGCCTGAATGGGGGAGGAAGACACAGAATCCCAAGCAGGCTCCAGGCCCCAAGCTGTCAGCCCAGAGCCCCATTATGGCTGCAACCCACAGCCCTGAAATCATGACCTGAGTCCAAGCCCGACGCTTAACCAACTGAGCCACCCAGGCGCCCCGAGGTTTGGGTAAATTCTGAAGAAATTAATTACTTAGCGTAGATATGATCTCGCATACCTCACGTAACGCCCTCACAGAGGACAAATAAGCCTTAAAATTGAGCACTGGGCTGTGAATTTTGCCTGAAACAGCTTGCCATTTTCTTGAACCAGCAGTAAAAATACTGTACAATGGGGATATGGGATTTGTTTCACGGGGTCGTTGTGGGCATAAATGGAACATCCTACGTGAAAAAGCCCTTGCATTGCGTCCCCCCTTCCATGCCCCTCCGCCACCCCCCCTCCCCCCCCAATCCCGGCCAGGAGCCTGCTCAGTCTTCCCCCAGGGGACCTGAGAACGTCTGTCTCAGTCAGTCTGGCACAAAATAGGGCCTCAATAAATATTTACCAAATGAATGAATGGTCGCCTGCCTTAGTCCTTCTTTTGTTTAGTCACACTCTCAGTCTAAGCTCCCACCACGCAACCCGGACCCCGAATCCTGCCAGTTCCATCACAGGGTGGATGCGGGGTCAGTGGAAGGGGAAGGGCGGTAAAGAATGAGTAAGGGCGGTCCCCGGGTCCGACCCGGGAGGGAAGAAAAAAGGAATCCTTAGGGGCGCGGGGTCAACAAAGAGCCAGACGCAGGCGAACCGCCGGGAAAACCCCGAAGCCCGCCTCGGTAGCCAGGCCCCCGCTCCCCGCGCGCGTCCCCCACCCCGAGCGCGGTCCCCATTCCCCGCCCGCACCCGCCGGGCGCCTCCAGCCCCGCAGCCTGCGCTCGCCGAGCGGCTCCCGCCCCCGGGGCGGTGCCGGGAACACGCGGCGCCTCCGCCGGTCACGTGGGGGCCGCTCCGCCGGGCGGCGCTGCCGCTTCCCGATCGCGCCCTCCCTGCGCCGGGGCCGCGGCGCTCGCGCTCCCGCCCGAGCCGGGAGAAAAGCGGAGACAAGGCGGCGCCGCCGCCCCCTCCTCGCGGCTGCGCCCCGGCCCTGCGCCCGCAGCATGCCGGCCGCGGGGCCGAGCGCCGCCCTCCTCCAGCAGCTCGCGGAGGCGACGACGCTGCCGGCCGCGGGGCCGCGGCTGCGAGGGTAGCGGGGCCGGAGTCGGCACCGAGGCGCCGCGCGGCGGGCAGAGTGGGAGGAGGAGCAGCAGGCTAGGTCCGCGGCGCGGCGGGCGGCGGCCCTGCTGCCCCGGCGCGCCCATGGCCCGGGCGCAAGGAGAATGCGAGCTGCGCTGCCCGCCGGCCGCCGCCGCCTCCCCCCGCGCCGCGCGCTCGGCGCCCCCCGGAGCCGCCCGTGTCGCCGCCGCCGCCGCCGCCGCCCCCCAGCTGCGGGCGCCCCGCCGCTGGCTGCGCTAGGACCCTCAGCCGCCGGTCGCCGAGGGCTGGAGGGAAGGGAGGGGCCAGAGGGCCCGGGAGACTGGCGCCCGCCCGGGCGCAGCGCGGCATGTAGCTGCGGGCGCCGGCGCGAGGGTGTCGGCCCGGGGCCCCGCCATGGCTGGGAAGGACAGCGGGAACCTGAAGACGGTGAGGCTGTGGCGGGACGCCGCCCTGCGCGCCAGGAAGCTGCGGAGCAACCTGCGCCAGCTCACCCTCAGCGCGGCCGGGGGCTGCCCCGGCGCCGGCGCCGAGCTGCTCGACTCCCCCGACGCCCCGCAGCTCGTGCTGCCGGCCAACCTCGGCGACATTGAGGTGCTGAACCTGGGGAACAACGGCCTGGAGGAGGTGCCCGATGGGCTGGGCTCGGCGCTGGGCAGCCTGCGCGTCCTGGTCCTGCGCAGGAACCGCTTCGCCCGGCTGCCCCCGGCCGTGGCGGAGCTGGGCCACCACCTCACCGAGCTGGACGTGAGCCACAACCGGCTGAGCGCCCTGGGCGCGGAGGTGGTGAGCGCCCTGCGGGAGCTGCGCAAGCTCAACCTCAGCCACAACCAGCTGCCCGCCCTGCCCGCCCAGCTGGGCGCCCTGGCCCACCTGGAGGAGCTGGATGTCAGCTTTAACCGGCTGGCGCACCTGCCCGACTCCCTCTCCTCCCTCTTGCGCCTGCGCACCCTCGACGTGGACCACAACCAGCTCACCGCTTTCCCGCGGCAGCTGCTGCAGCTGGCGGCCCTGGAGGAGCTGGACGTGTCCAGCAACCGGCTGCGGGGCCTGCCCGAGGATATCAGTGCCCTGCGTGCCCTCAAGATCCTGTGGCTGAGCGGGGCCGAGCTTGGCACCCTGCCCAGCGGCTTCTGCGAGCTGGCCAGCCTGGAGAGCCTCATGCTGGACAACAACGGGCTGCAGGCTCTGCCCGCCCAGTTCAGCCGCCTGCAGCGCCTCAAAATGCTCAACCTCTCCTCCAACCTCTTTGAGGAGTTCCCGGCCGCCTTGCTGCCGCTGGCCGGGCTGGAGGAGCTGTACCTGAGTCGCAACCAGCTCACCTCAGTGCCGTCGCTCATCTCGGGCCTTAGCCGGCTTCTCACCCTCTGGCTGGATCACAACCGGATCCGCTACCTGCCCGACTCCATCGTGGAGCTGACCGGCCTGGAGGAGCTGGTGCTGCAAGGGAACCAGATCGCAGTGCTGCCCGACAACTTCGGCCAGCTCTCCAGGGTGGGCCTGTGGAAGATCAAGGACAACCCGCTGATCCAGCCCCCCTACGAGGTCTGTATGAAGGGGATCCCCTACATCGCAGCCTACCAGAAGGAGCTGGCTCATTCCCAGCCGGCCGTGCAGCCGCGCCTCAAGCTGCTCATGATGGGCCACAAGGCTGCGGGCAAGACGCTTCTCCGCCAGTGCCTCACTGAGGACAGAGTGGACGCGAGCCAGGGAGGAGGGGACCCGGAAAAGAGCTGCGCGCCTTCGGCTCCTTCTGTGGGCAAAGGCATCGAGGTGACCAGCTGGACGGCCGACGCCTCGCGGGGGCTGCGGTTCATCGTGTACGATTTAGCCGGGGACGAAAGTTACGAGGTGATCCAGCCCTTCTTCCTCTCCCCGGGAGCCCTTTACGTGCTGGTGGTGAACCTGGCCACGTACGAGCCGCGCCGCTTTCCCAGCACCGTGGGCTCCTTCCTGCACCGGGTGGGGGCCCGGGTGCCGCACGCCGTCGTGTGCATCGTGGGCACGCACGCGGACCTGTGCGGGGAGCGGGAGCTGGAGGAGAAGTGCCTGGACATTCACCGCCAGATCGCCGCGCAGGAGAAGCGCCACGCGGACGGGCTGAGCCGGCTGGCGCGCGCGGTGGACGAGGCGCTGGCCCGGGACTTCGAGCTGCGCTCCGCCAGCCCGCACGCAGCCTACTACGGGGTTTCCGACAAGAACCTCCGGCGGCGCAAGGCGCACTTCCAGTACCTGCTCAACCACCGGCTGCAGATCCTCTCGCCCGTGTTGCCTGTGAGCTGCAGGGACCCTCGCCAGCTGCGGCGCCTGCGGGACAAACTGCTCTCGGTGGCCGAGCACAGGGAGATCTTCCCCAATTTACACAGAGTGCTGCCTCGCTCCTGGCAGGTGCTGGAGGAACTGCACTTCCAGCCGCCGCAGGCGCAGCGGCTGTGGCTGAGCTGGTGGGACTCGGCTCGCCTGGGCCTGCAGGCAGGCCTGACCGAGGACCGGCTGCAGAGCGCCCTGTCCTACCTGCACGAGAGCGGCAAGCTGCTCTACTTTGAGGACAGCCCGGCGCTCAAGGAGCACGTCTTCCACAACCTCACCCGCCTCATCGACATCCTCAACGTCTTTTTCCAGAGGGACCCTTCCTTGCTGCTGCAGAAGCTGCTTCTAGGGACCAGCGGCGAGGCCGAGGCCGAGGGGGAGAGCTGCCCGCCGATGGCGCCGCCCGCGCCGGGCCAGGAGCTGCTCCGGACCACCCAGCTCCATCATTACGTGGAGGGCTTTCTGATCCACGGGCTCCTGCCAGCCCACGTCATTCGGTTGCTGCTTAAGCCTCATGTCCAGGCCCAGGAGGACTTGCAGCTGCTGCTGGAGCTGCTGGAGAAGATGGGACTCTGTTACTGCCTCAACAAACCCAAGGGCAAGCCTTTGAATGGGTCCACGGCCTGGTACAAGTTCCCATGCTATGTGCAGAATGACGTGCCCCACGCAGAGGCCTGGATTAACGGGACCAACCTGGCCGGGCAGTCTTTTGTGGCCGAGCAGCTGCAGATCGAATACAGTTTCCCCTTTACCTTCCCCCCCGGGTTGTTTGCACGCTACAGCGTCCAGATCAACAGCCACGTGGTACACAGGTCGGATGGTAAACTTCAGATCTTTGCGTATCGAGGGAAGGTTCCCGTGGTGGTCAGTTACAGACCCGCCAAGGGGGTCTTGCAGCCAGACACCCTGTCCATTGCCAGCCATGCGTCTTTACCAAACATATGGACGGCGTGGCAAGCCATAACCCCCTTGGTAGAGGAGCTGAATGTCCTACTACAGGAATGGCCTGGACTGCACTACACCGTGCACATTCTCTGTTCTAAGTGCCTTAAGAGAGGGTCGCCCAATCCACACGCTTTCCCAGGTAAGTGGGGGAGAGGGACGTGGTTCTTCCGTGGTAATGCTTTAAGACGCATTTTTTGGAAGATAACTTGTGTTTCATTTGATGGACTATTTGCTTAACCTCACAGGCTCTCCAGGAAAGTTTCTCAAAGTGAATGCCGGCCGGTGGGGGGCGAGGGGCTGTGAGGGATGAGCAAAAGGCAGGAAACACACGAGCAAAATGAAATACAGTCTCCACTGTCATACTCTCCTGAACAAAAAGACCCAGACCTCGGAGGCGGGTTCCAGTCCCACTTTTGGATTTTGGATCTCCTTTTCCCTTTTTCCCCATTTAGCCTACCTTCCATGGAAGGAATTTCAGGTGGTTGAACAGAGAAGCTGGAGAGCCTTGTCTGAGCACTGGGTGATTGTACTTTTTAGACCCATCTCTAAAGGGTGCTCTCGGCTTGAGTGGTCATTGTCATCATCTTTGGTTTAAATTCAGTGTAATCATAAAGGAAAAATTATTGCTCACTTTTCCTAGGAAATTCTAGAGAAGAATTTTTCGTCAACGGGGTGAATGACGGTTTAGTAAAGACAAAAATTTCAGTGTGTAGTGCATGACTAAGTCCTGGGATCACTGCAACCCAGCACACTCAAAGGCATGGAAGATAGATTACTTAAGTCTCTGAGGGGAGTTTCCTCGGGTATTTCCTGTCAATTTCGTGCTTTAGAGCCCTCGAAAGGTTTGGTTTTTGCTCAGCGTTAGAGCTTTTTGGAAATTCTTTGTAAGAAACGGAAGGGAACAAAAGGCTGAAAAGAGTCTTATGGGTTTTTTTTTTCTTTTTCTGTTTTGCAACTGACTTTTTCTGTTTTACTTATTTATCTTTTTAAAAATATTTCAACGTTTATTTTTGAGAGACAGAGAGAAAGAGTAGGAGATGGGCAGAGAGAGAGACAGAGACAGAGGCAGAGACAGAATCCAAAGGAGGTTCCAGGCTCTGAGCTGTCAGCACTGAGCCAGATATGGGACTCGAATCCATGAACCGTGAGATCACGACCTGAGCCGAAGTCCGATGTTTAACTGACTGAGCCACCCAGGCGCCCCGCTGTTTTACTTTTTTGAAGCATGATAGGTGAGTGGGAGAATTGCAGAACTAGTAGTGTGGGATTTTTTTGGGCCTAGTTAATTGATACCCGAGTCTTTAGTTGGGAATGTGTCCCCTTTTCACACCGGAGCATTCTTTCAACAACTCCAGGTTTGGGGAGCAGGCATGGTTAACAGCATTCCAAGTGTCCTAGGGACAAGCCCAGAGATAGCATCTCGGCCATTTCTCCCCTCCGTCCCCACCCCCCAGGGTACACTGAGCAGTGATGAAATGGAAGCCTACATGTCACTCTGATCTTTGTCCTAGTCTGAATGCAGCTCATAATAGTGTCAGGAAGCAATTGGATACCAATATTTCCAAAGGTAACCTCTTCCTGCTGCCCTAGATCTAGGATGGGTTTAATTCTTCAGCCAGAAAAAAAGCCACCGTATTCAGTTACCAGTCAATTGAGCTGTCCATTCTGAATGATTATCTGGTGTCGTGTCATTGTCTGCGACTCTTCAGTTTGTTTTATATTTGCCTTTGTACCTTACTCATGAAAGCAAACACTTCTCTATTGTGTTACTAGAATGGAGAAAGTGGTTAAGAGTTACACAGTCACAGAGTAGCTTATTGAAGGAGCTGCCTAAAGCTGATGCGTAATCCAAAGATGGTGCACTAATAAATCTGTTACTATCAACAAAGGGAAAGACACAGGTTATTGGACAAGTGAAGGTCTGGGCAGGGGAATTCCGGGAACTTTGGGGAGTAAACCATGAGGCCGGAATTTTTCCCCCCCCTTAACCTCAGATCTTCATTTTTTATTTTAAACAGTCATACATTCCACAAGCAAGCTCCTAGGATGTACTGCACTACAGAAACCAAGAGCCCATTCTATTGCCATTGTTTTGCTTGTTTGTCTTCAAAGGAGGCACACCTGGTTTGTGATGTAGGCCGTAAGGAAACGATGATTTTTCTCAACGTAAAAAACAAATACATGGTTGAGAATCATCGAATGATCTTTTATATTGAGTAAGAATAAATCATTAGTTGTTTTCGTAATAGAGGCTATGCACATCTGGCTTATATATGGTTTGAGAACCAAGGTAATCATTTTCGCTTCGTTTAGGATTGTGTTTCTTTGAAAAGTAGCAAAGGGCACAGAGTAGTGGAAAAAGATGATTATAGTACATTCATGACATTAAGAAGTCAGAGAAGTAACTGGATGGTGATGGATGTTAACTAGACTTACTGTGGTGATCATTTTGCAATGCACACAAATACTGAATTGTTACGTTGTTTACCTGAAACTAATACTGTATGTTAAATACACCTCACTAAATAAATAAGTAAAAGAAGATGGGAAGAAACACATTTTCCTCTTTCAGATTTTTCTGTGACAGCCGTCATTTGACAGTATTTGTTAATAATTCTGAAGGACTTGGGAAGAGCTGAAATAAGAAACAAGTAGAAGGCAATGTAGGAACAGAATTATAATGTTGGGTGCTCAGTTAGTAAGGGAATATAGTTAAAAATATGTTTGAGGCCCTAGGTTTTATTAAAATGTATTTTAACTCAGCTGAAACTTTTGAATCTACTAGTAGCCCCTTGTGTCTCTTTAAGAAGTCATCTTGCATTTCAGGGAAGTGACAATTTGTTACTTAGTTTTACATTCAATTTAAGTGTCAAATTCCTCCGTAAAGTCAACAGTTTTAGATAGGATGGTGTGATACGGAAGGAGAATGTTTTGTGGACCATTTACTTGTGTGTGTGTGTGTGTGAGGCAATTTTATGTTATTAATCTTAAAATCAGTACCTTTTAATACAAATGACGTGATCAGAAATCTGTCAGAGGAATTTGAGACCCATCAGGATGAAGTTAAATGGGGAAAAAAATTCATTTATTCTTTTCTGTGGTGAAAAACCGGATTTTTAATTTTTTTCAACTTTGGGACATTAAAATAAGACTAGGTAGCAAATTATTGTCTCTCTTGATTTTATACAGAAGAAATGTATAGTTGTACTACTAGCTCTTAAAGTGTATTTTGGCAGGGAAAGGGGGAAGCCTGTTTTGGCCCTGTTCAGTGTCAATAGGGCATTGCATTTTCTGGCCTAAGCTGCACCAATGTCGTTGACCTAGAGAGATATAATGCTGGATTTCTCTTTTCTGATTTTAGTTTACGAAAGAAATGTGATGCTTTGGAAAATCCTCAGCCAACAACCACTTGTTCTAGTGAAAAAAGATCTACTCATGTTGTTAGAGAGATTACCTATTTATCTTATTTAAGATGAAACATTGGGTGCCTCAGTAGGTTGAGTGTCTGACTTCAGCTCAGGTCATGATCTCATGGCTTGTGAGTTCGAACCCCACGTCAGACTGTGCTGACAGCTCAGAGCCTGGAGCCTGTTTCAGACTCTGTGTCTCCCTCTCTCTCCCTCTCTCTCCCTCTTCTGCTCATGCTCTGTGTCTCTCTCTCCTTCAAAAATAAATAAACATTGAGAAAAAAAGAAGTTGAAAGTGTTGAGTGATAAGAGGTGATTTGGAGGCTCATAAGAGGTTAGATAGAGCTTAAGTGTACGGTCACGTGTTTGCCTGCTTTCAGTAACTACTGCCAGCATCCGGCAGCCAGGTTTCCACCTCATGACTTGGTGGCATGTTCTTGTCCTAGAGTTAAGTCCCTTCTTGTGGAATATTTACTCAAGCTTTTGTTCTTTCCTATGAGCATGCGGTCCCAAACCAGAAGCATTGACTCCTCCTGAGACTGGATGATTCATGGCCCATTCAGTAAGATGTGGATGCTAGGATCTAGGTCTGAGCAAGACTCTAGTCCTTTGATATTCTGGGCAAGTGGTTTAGCGAATGAGGCGTGCTTTTAAATTGCAAGAGTGGGTCTTTGTGAGTTCAGTTTGGTTTGAATGTGGTCGTTCACTAAATATCCTATCCTGCAGATCATTGAAGGTCACTTGGAGGAATAATTAGGCAGCATCCCAAAGCAGGAGACAGAGACTTGGCACATGGTCGTCTTTATATTTGGTCTCTCTCATTCAGTCAGCGACTCGATGCCTTTCGCCATCTCCTGAGTGCTTTGTGCCCCTGTTCTGTTTCTTGAACACTGTAGACCTCTGAGGCATTCGGCGTATTCTGCCTGCCTCTGCTGGTGTTTCAGTGTGTCAGATCTCTTTGATTAGGTTGTCCACTTGCCTCCTCTGAGCAGGGGACTCGCCTGAGGCTTTGTGGCTTTTGTAAGAGCCTCTCAGATGTTTGCTGAATGACGGTTTGGTCTTTTGTGAGAAATACCTTTTTTTTTTCTTTGTTATTCACGTACTCTGTCAAATTCCCAGGTGGCCCCATAGTAGTGATCATTTTGCTTTGTCCTGCTTCCCAACTTCCCTCCTCTGCCCCACAAATGTCCCTGTGGTGTTTCCATTGTGTCTGTATTCCTGGTCTCTCCCTTGAATGGGCCCTTCATTTTGACCACTGAAGCAAAGGAGAATTCTTGCCTTATTATAGCTCAGTTTTAGAGTTACTGGAATCTGAGTGTGACCTAGTTGTTTGGATTGAATTAGTCAGTGTTTTTAATTTCACAAAGGTTATTAAATATCTTTTTAGTTTAGCTTTATTAACATTGATGCCTGTTGGCTTTTATTTTGTGAACAGTCTTCTTTGAACTCTCGTGGGCTTTGTTTCATATAAAAATCAAAACCTTCATCATGCAGTGGGAGAAAGAAATACCATGAATAATAGAATTCAAAGACTTGAGAAAGGCCTTTGGAGTATTCAGATTATTTTAAGTATTAGGTGTCTCTTCTTTAAACTCTAGAAGACCATCTCAGGCCCATCACTGCACAAGTAGTTTAAAATTTCCTCAGAGAAAGTATTTTTTATTCGCGAGCAGATGTTTTATGTCATATTCTGCTGTCTGCTTGTCTTACTTTCCAGTAAACATCTTATTTT